ACGTTTAAATATTCAAATTTAATTGTGGAAGGAAAATGAAAGTTTTAAAAAGATATAAAATAATGGAGTCTACCTAAAAAAAGTTTATTTTAATTTAAAAAATATTACTGAATTTTTTTATGTTAAATAATTACTACTAAAAAATAAACATAAAAACATATTTTATAATAGTGTTACATTTTATTATAAAATGTTTTTTTTAATATTTTTCAGGTACTCGTGTTGACCTATATAAAAAGCACATGAGAGAACTTTTATTTTCTCGTTTTTATTATTCACAAAACGTACATTTGCCTTTAAACAAATGACAAAAATTGGAAGATGAACATATATGATGGTCGTAGAACTTTGACTGAAGTGGTCGGAATGTATGGACACGTGATCCTTATGTGGATACGTATGGTTCATCTTTCCACTTCACTGAATCAGAGGAAATCAGTTTGTCTCATTGTGTTTCTATATATATACTTCCCTAACAGCAGAAGAACAAAGAAATACAGTAAGATTCTGGGGGGAAGCATACATAAGGTCTTCAAGCATTCAATTCTGACAATCATCTTGTGCAACGTGAATACTGTCAACCAATGATTAAGTTCATTCTTATACCTGTCTGGTTAAGAAATTATGTAGTATGTTTGGTGAGAGAGAGGGAAGAAAATATAATTTTAATAAATTGTAGAAATCACGGTATTATTTCGTATATATTCTTAAAATTATTAGTAAGATGAATTTCGAATATATGATTATTTCTTCCTTTGCAAAACAAATATCTGGTTTAATCATAAAAGTTATAAATGTAGCTAATAAATCAAATTAAGTGATAAATAACAAATTCACTATATTTTTAGAATCGTCCATTTTGTCAAACCCATCCCTAAATTCAAAATGAATGATGAGCCACCGCCAAAACCGTACACGTCATAACTTAGAGAAACAAAATCTCACTCTAACTCTTACTTTTCTCTCTCCAGTTTTATTACAGTAATAAGTAAAGTTGTCGTGAGTGGTGAACGCGGGATTCTGGATCACTGGTACAATGAGGATAATTTGTTGGGTTCAATTATTTTTTTCTTAAATTACATATTTATTTGTAATTTGATAAAATGAAGGGGTGGAATGGAAGTCACTGGTTGAATCCAATATTCCACAATTTTTTACCCGTTCCAATGATTAAAAGTCTGAAATTTGGTGAACCTAAAAAATAATGCATGGTTGGATTTTAGCTTATAGTGCAGTGTAGGAAAAATGTTGAATTATAAGGCGTGCCGTCTGGTGCGGGGTGGTGCCAAGCATTTAGAAGCCGGCACCGACTAACAGTAAACGAGACAGGATGTGGGTAAACTGTATGACAAATTGCTTCAGATAGGATCTCAATTGTCTCTAATTGGATGGTCCCAAGCGCTTTCTAACTAATGAAAACGAATGAACTCCTCCGCGCCTAAATCTCACACAAAAACAATTGGCAAAAAGAATCCTCACCAACCACCAAAATGGAATAGTTAGGAGCAAAAGTAACTAAATATGGTTTATACGGATGCAACTTCAGACCCTCTTCCTGTATATTTTGGTGGGGTCTTCAGGCCAAACAAAAATTATTTGTTGCTTGCCAAATTCAATGAAAAGAAAAATAAAAGTTATATATTATGCAATAGATTAAGCAAGAATGAATGTATGTAAAAGTTGAATTTGGAAAAGGGCTATGTAGTTGTGCCTTGGCAACAAATCAAAACACCCATCATATTCAGCGATGTTATACCAAACCTTGAGCCTTTTTTTTCTTTTCTTCTTTTTGTTAAATGGGATAAGTTGTTACCAGCTATTATAACAAAGTTTGTCATCGATTCTTACCCTCTGAGGAAATATACAAATGTGCAATCATATTCGATGGTTTCGCCAACGTGTCTATTATATCAATTCAATATTCTTCTCACAACTAACCTAGATTTTCAAATGGATGGCTATGCTATTTTTCACAACAAAATGAAAGGACTCACTTTAATATGCTAACAAATTATTTGTTTTCCGTGATTAGGAGAATCATATATTTGCTTTTCAATGCTTTATTTCTGGTCAAAAAGTTTTGTCCCCCAACTTACACGTAAACCTATTTTTAATTTCGTGTGTTAGTATATATAATATACATGATTATATATTTGTGTGTTAAGTTAGACTATACTATAGAAAACAAAGATACGTCAAACGCATAGAATTGCAGTATAGTTTACACCCAAGTTTTTCATGCTTCAAATTTAAGTTTCATACCTACCAGCATCTACATGATCACTGTTTCAAACTACCAAACGTATATACTACACATATGTTTTTCACATTTTACTCAATTTAATAGATACTTAATTGAGATGATCAATTAGACATTCAATATTATTCCTTCAAGTGAAATTGAGGTTAATCTCTTTAAAAAAGCTTTTAAATTTGAGTCTTGAATGAAAAAAGAAATGTTGAGAGAAGATATTCATAGATGGTGATCAGTTAAGTCTTTTAAGAAAGAAAAGGAAAGTTATCAACTAATGAAATATTTTATAATAACAAATCATTATTTAAAAAAAACACACGTGTAGAGGAGACAAAACTATTGTTCTTCCTCTAAATGGATGCTGTGTTTAGATTGATGTCCTCAATATTTATATTTCAAATCACATGAAAATTTTAATTATTTTTTATAATAGTTTTAGTTTGATATGGATAAATTAATTGTTACGCCCCTTTGAACCAAACACAGATTTAGTCCGAGAAGAAACCATGATAGATAGAACTTTTTTTAAGAGACAAACATGCGATTCTTTGATTTATGGTTATTAAAGTAAGACTCTTTCAATTTCAACGTTAGGACAAATCCTTAATCATTAACGAAATTTTTAAATATCAGCATGGTTTTGGCATAACTAAAAGGAAACCAAACCACGTACTGTAATTTATTTCACCACAATATTATGTTTTAAGATTCGAAACTTGCGATCCTGGGGGAAGAGATAAACCTTTGAATAAAGCTAATCTAAAATTTCAATTCCAGTGAGGCGCCTAGCATTGCCTTTCTTGGTAGTTAGAAAATTAATTTACTCATTCATTCATTCATTCAGTTTTCAATAAAAATATTTTAATATAAACTTATCTTTCAAATTAGTTTAAATACACTTATCAATCATATAATTATGTATCATTAATTCTATCAAAATTAATTTATTGAATTTTAAAACAAACAAGGCCTATACTTCAATGAGAGAGGAACTAACAAACTACTTAAACCACAGCATTTTTAAGGAATATTCCCGCTACTTGTAAGATGTCAACAAATTAATATAATACTTCTACAAATATTTGATTTTTCAACTCTATATTTTAAATTTCAACAGTTTTTTTTTTTGCAGGATTAATATATACTAAAAGGAATTTTTAACTTCAAATATTAAAACAAAAAACTTATATTTAGCTCATCCAAAAAGGCGAGAGTGGGGACTTAAATATAAAACTTGTTAGTATTGTTCAATCGTTTTCTCAATGTTTCTAAAAAATCTTTCTTTTTATGGCAAGTGGTTTCACTGTTATCTAATTTTTTTAGTTTTAATTGTCAAATAATTATTTTTTAAAATTTTATATCAAGATTTTTATCAATTTTAATTAATATATTTTTATATTGATATTAAATTTGATTTGTTTCGTAACTAGAAATATTTTTATTTATATACTAGTTATATAAGTTAATGATAATAGTCGCGCGGAATAGTGGGTATTTGTTTTATATAAAAGAATTTTATATAAGAGAAGGTCCCAAGAAAAGAAGGTGCTACTGCTACTTGATAAGACGATTAATTATACTCTATGCATAATTTTCGATGCACCTTATATAAAACGTCAAATATGCTTAGTTCTATTTGGTCCTAATGATAGCGGTATTAGACTCAATTATTATGATCCAATAAAGTTTTTCTCTTAAATTTGAATTAAATGAATTTAGGGTGGGTCCTTGAGATGGATTGAGGGTACATTTTAACCGATTGATTCTAACAGACAATGCAAGTCCAAATTAACTCTAAAAATTACAATAATAATTTTATATATTAGTGACATCACAGAGATATACTTACGTGGTGATTAAAAGTTATCTGCTTTTATAATACCGTGAGCTGTAAAATTTTAAGCTCTCTTTTCCTTTCGGCATGTCTCATTGGACTTTCATTTTCTTTTTTAATTCTGTTTAAAACCATATGCCAAAAATCTTAAGGAATGTTAAAATTTGTTATATATAAAATACAGTGTGCCAATGTGAGTTGGCATGTGTTCAAATATAGAATTAATTCTCATTCTCCCCATAGAAGTAAATTTGTGTACCTAAGAAGATATGATTACAAAATTAATATATCATTAGATTGATACTAAATTAATACCAACTAAATGTTTATGACAATACCAAATAATTGAACACTCCACTTATAATATTTAACATTGTATTTTCAAATAGTTTATTTTTTAATTCCTTTAACTCATATTTTATGGATTCGGTAAATAGAACCATCTTTAATGCACAATTTTGTGACATAGAAAACATGATCATTAATCACGAGGTATACTTTTTATGGTTAAAAAAAAAAAATTCTCTTTTTCTAGCGGGACATATCATGTTAAGAACAGGAGATCTAAGCAGAAATTTGTGGCTTTGTATTTTTTTATAGCACTTGAAGATACCATCAAGATGATTGTAATGATACAAATTCATGCGTGTGTTACTATTCTTTTGAAATCGACGACACTTCGCACTGTCTCTCTATAGCCTCAAAAAGAGCTCAAGTAGGTTTCTTGGAAGCCACTCTTGAAGGCTTCTAAAACCTTTATATATATACACCACAAACGACACTTCTTACATAAACTACATCATATTCAAGCCACCACTTGATTGTTTCGTTTTCATAACCTTCTCAAATTTCTCTCAGCTTCTTTGCATACTGTGAAACTCATATTTTCTCTATTCAGACTGATCTTCAAGCATGGAAGGGAAAACCAAGAACAAGGTGGACTTTGATCTGGGTTGCGGTTTGGTGGGGAGAATTTTCCACCTAAAAACCAATAACAGGCCAAGAAAATCCTCTGTTCATTCACTACCCGTGAAGCCTTGCAACACTGCACAACAGAGGGACCAGGCCAAAAACGAATCCAAACCCCCTTCAGACCATGAACCAAAGGTGCCACGAGATAGCGCCATTGGAACCACTCCTACACTGAAAGGGGAGCAGGATCCTGTGAGAAAGAGTAGCTCTAGTCACCGTGCACCTTCTGCATACCGAAACAATTTAAATGGGAGACTCTCAGACGCTGCTAGAACCTCAATTCAACAAAATCATGACCCAAATGATGAGAATAAGCAACAGAAAGAGAACTCTGGTAATTATCTGCAACTTGCTAGGATAAGTACAAGTGCTAGTCATCATCAGAACAACGAGACCAAATCCCCAGCCAAAGAATTTGTGTTACCAATCACTGGGAATTTGCTTGTGAATAGCAGCCCCAGAACTAGTGTTACCAAGAGCAAGGAGTTGAACTCCATGTTCTGTTCCTCTGCTTATAATAGTAACGCCAACAAAGGCGTGATGGGGAATATCATGAGGAAGAACAGCGATGAACTTGCTCAATTTCGGAGTCCAAGGATCAGCAGAGCGGACCCTGAGGTGATGAAGTCCATGGGGAATGAAGCCTACAAGCTAGGAAGATTTGAAGAGGCTTTGGTTTTGTATGACAGAGCCATTGCTCTTGACTCCAACACGGCAACGTACCATTGCAACAAGAGCGCAGCTTTGATAGGTTTGGGAAGGTTTCTGCAGGCAATTGTCGAGTGTGAGGAAGCTATCAGGTTGGAGCCTTCTTATGGCAGAGCCCACAACCGTTTGGCAACAATTTATTTCAGGTACTCAAAGATAAAAATGATGATGGTGTTGGTAATATGCTTCATTCAATCTTCCATGGACTAATGCAAACAAAAGGGAGCTCGAGATGTTGTGGTGTTTGTTTTGCTATTTTTTCCGCTTTCTTACAGAATTGATCATTTGATTGCAGACTGGGAGAAGCACAAAAGGCACTGAATTGCAACGAAACAAGCCCATGTGTTGATTCTGTCCTCACTTTCCAAGCTCAGGCTCTTCAAAATCACCTTAGCAAATGCACTGAAGCTCGGGAAGTCAAAGACTGGAAAGCTATATTAAAGGAAACACAGGCTGCAGTATCATTAGGTGCCGATTCAGCTCCACAGGTCAGTTTCCTTGGTTTAACCTTTTTTTTTTTTTTTTTTTTTTGAGGTTCTTTCCAACGCCTAAACTTTTTGTACAACCACGTTTATTTTCCATTTTTGCATCCAATTTCGGCTAATGTTTTCCGCTTTGTTTTTATATAAAAAGTTCCATAGTGATTTATTGATCAATAAACGGCTATGGTATGCCTTATGCTGATTGAAAAATGGTTATGTATATCAGGTGTATTGTTTACAAACTGAAGCCATGCTGAAGCTCCTAAGACATCAAGAGGCATATGCTACATACGAGAAAATGCCAAAATTTGACCTTGATAGTTGTAAAAAACTATTCGGCCTAGCTCGTAGTGCTTACCTGATGATGATAGCCGCGCAAATTTACTTGGCAGCCGGCAGGTTGGTGAAAGTGCTTTAGTTTGATGACGTTTATCTAATTATTCAACCATGATTTATGTATTTTACATTATATATGTAAGCAAAGCACGCCAATTTAAAAAATAAGGGACCTATAATCATGTTAAAGCTGGCTAAATAATGCGAAGTGCCAACAATCGGGTTTCCCATTTTTTTAATTAATTTTATGAAGTTAGTGTGATATCGATGAGGTATGTAGTTGGTACTTGGTATTTATATTGCAATCTCACTTGACCAAGTTTTATATAGTAGACACCAATAGAACATTGGAAATTATTATTTCTCCCTGCTATTACTTCGGTTGCTTGTATTCAATGATGATAGGTGATATATTGAGCCCAATTAGTAATGAGCGAATGATCCTTTTGTGTCTGCCGACAGGTTTGAGGATGCTGTAACAGCTTCTCAGCAAGCAGCTAAACTAGATCCAAGTAGCTTTGAGGTAAATGCAGTGGTGAGGAGAGCCAGAGCAGTGGCATCAGCCAGAGTGAGTGGTAACTTACTCTTCAAGGCATCAAAATTCTCGGAAGCATGCGCTGTCTACAATGAAGGACTAGAGCATGATCCATACAACGCAGTTCTGCTATGCAATAGGGCAGCATGTCGTTCTAAGCTAGGTCAGTTTGAAAAAGCAATTGAAGATTGCAACGTAGCATTTATCGTTCAGCCTAGTTATAGCAAGGCAAGGTTGAGGAGGGCAGATTGTAATGCCAAGGTGCTTTAATTTCTACTTCAGTACTAACTTGTATATACTATTATCCTTGTTTTTCAGTTGATAATTATTTTGTTTGACATATAATAGTTGGAGCGATGGGAAGCTGCGATTCAAGACTACGAAATGCTATTAAGAGAAAAACCAGGGGATGAGGAGGTGGCTAGGGCTCTGTTTGAGACTCAGCTTCAACTCAAGTTGCTGCGTGGTGAAGATATTAAGGACTTGAAATTTGGATCAAATTTGTTTCTCATCTCTAGCAATGATCGGTTTAGGCACTATGTAACATCACCTGGTAACCCACATTTGACTGTGTCTTTTTATGTAACTATATTTGGCATCACAGGTAACAAAGACTGATCAGTTGTGGACAATTTGAACAGGGATGTCTGTGGTGCTCTTTTGCAACAAGGCAACCCACAAACAAGTGTTGTTGGTGTTGGAGCAAACCTGCAAGAGATTTCCATCAGTTAATTTTCTTAAGGTTGGTAATTTTGAATTTCTAGGCCTAGCAGCTTGTGGTATTGTCTACTGAAAAATGGAAATAGAATATCTTGAACTCTCTAAAGCACTGTTAGGATGGTATTAACTTGGACAAGCATGTGAGAAAACAGCATAGCATCTTGATGTAGGAAAAAAAGCAAAATTTTATAAAACCATAAGCGTATACTGCGAATTGAAAAAAACTACATTATCTCTTGTTTATAATTGATTTACATTTTCAGGTGGAGATTGAAGACCACCCCTACTTGGCAAAATCAGAAGGTGTGAACTGCGTCCCAGCCTTTAAAATATACAAGAATGGATCAAGGGTTAAAGAAATTCCAGGCAACAACCACGAGTTGTTAGAAAAATTAGTTAAATTATATAGTAGTTGAAGATAATCACACTTCTTCAAATGACATCATAGACCGCAGGAAATGAAGAAGTTAAATTTTTCAGAATGGAAAAGAAGCTGGCCAGAATAAATCAAGCTGAATAGCTGATCATACCCGTTTCATAAATTTGGTCACCCTGCTTACAACCTGCAGAGAAAGTGTATAGGAAAAACAATTCTTTGTGTTAGTAATTGATTTTTTTAAATACTTTGAATGTCTGAGCAGTCTTTAATTCTTAATATTCAGTGTATATTGGTTTGGGAAACCTAAACTGTGTTTTTGTTGATAAGTTATTTATTCTTTACAAGAGTGATTTTTTAGGTTGTGATTCTAAGTTATGAGTAATATAGTAAGAGGGAATACGATTGTACATTACACACACTTTGTGGCAAAATTTGATCTTTCATGTTTCAAAGTTCAAAGACATATATTGATTTAACTCTTTAATATATTGCTTTAACATGGTGTGGTGATTTAAACTTCAAAACGGTTAGTAGTTTCTGAACTTAAACATAAAATAAACATTAATTCAATCTTATTATTTTAAACTAATTTTTACTTCAAACTTAAACATATTTTTAATAAATATGAAATTATATATTTTTATTTATTGGTGTTGACTTAAAATAGACTATCCACTCTACCAGGGTAATTGACCGTAACTTACTGATTAATTGCTTTCCTTTTGGTGGGCACGGATTATTATAGCTTCAAAGAACACTGTAATCTATTGGTTGGTTTAAACAAAAACGTTGAATTGAAACATTGTTTCATGGTTGTGAACTAAAGGTTTCAAAGCCATTAATAGCCCAATGTGTAAACAATGGAAGGTAATGTCTCAATCAAAATAGACAATCTGAGTAGAACATGAAATTTACTATTCAAGCCATCAAAAGCTAGTTTGTTTTGTTTTTTCGTCTCTCCCCCTTTATTCGCACTCATGCATATCGATATGTCTATTATGGAACAAAGGACCAAAGTTGTCAAATTTATGGACAACGTATTATTCGTCTGGGTCTGAGAACAAAATAAAATTTCTGGATTTTCATAATCACAGCCAAATCCCCGTTTAATATGCTGCTTGGTTATTTTTAGGAAAAATTAATGTTTCGAAAATTAGATAAAAAGAACTAAAGTTTTTATATTAAGTTATTAAGAAAGTAAAATGATTAGTGTGGGTGGGGACATAAGAAAAAGATGTGTGAAAGATTGATCACAGATTGCGCCGTGGATTGTAAACTCATTGTGAGATGATATCGAACCTTTGATTATTCTAATAAATTCCTCGTGTGCGGAAGTTTGCCCTACTTATGAGACATATTGATTGGTAAAAGCGGAAGAGGTTAACACTTTTTTATTTTCATATAAAAAACGTTGAAATATAATTTTTACTTCTTTATTTATTTATGAAATTTATTTTAATTCCTCTATTTTTAAAATGTTCAATTTCATCCTTTAATTCTCTAAAAAAAATATTATTTTTACCAAGCTAATGACACTAAGGATGATGCACAGTTTGATTCATATATATTGAGTTTGAGTTTTGACCCAAAAAAAAAAAAGATAGCATTGATATTCTTCTTAAAAAAAAACAGGAGAGACCAAACTAAATTATACAAATAAATAAAGGAATTAACAAATAATTTAATAAAATGGGATAACAGATAGAAATGTGAGTTTAGAAATAACCATTATAAAACTTAACAAACATATTATACATATTTTTAGTCTGATATAACATGGATGATTTTTTTAAAATAATAATAAAAAAACATATTTAAGATTATATAATATGTTATTTTTGTCTATTGTACAGATTATATATCTAGATTAAAAATAATATTTTTATCACTTAAAGTATCATAAAAAAATGAGCCTAATTAATATTAATTCAACTACTGTTGAACTAATAAATCTCAAATAAGTGGTTTTACTAGTCTAGTTTAAAAATATTAAGCAAGAGATTTTTTTTAATTTCTCAGATAATTTAGAAATCTATTGATTAATTTAATCTAGGGACTACGTACCCTTTGAAATTTGTCATTGAGATTAAACGTGTTGCATTTAGGGTATAATTACAAATAACTTATGATTTTAAGAACTCAATTGTTTTGGAACCCGTCGAAAAACACTTTACAACTTTCAAGCATTCAATTTTAACTTTTAAAAGGAAAAGAGCTTCTTTATTTTAAATATTTTTATAACGTAATAATTTAACTTCTATTAAATCCCTAAAAAAAAATCTTATAATTTGTCCCCATACGGATTTTGAATCAGAACATTTGGACTAAGGGTCCAATTATGCTAATATAGATTTGAGCCCAAACTGAGGAAAGATTCAGTTGAAAAAATTCAAATAATTTTATCCGCGTCAAAAAGTTATACACAAAGTTTGATAATGTTATCTCGTTGATAAATTTCATATCTTAATTATGTTTTTAAAAATATAACTTAATAAAATAAACGGGAAAATTATGATTAAAAATACAAAGTAACCAATAATTAAGATAATAATAGATAAAGATGAAAATTATAAGAATATATATATATATATATATATATATATTATTGTTAATTTATCAAATAAGTTTATTTGTTCTAATACTCAAATAAATAATATATATTTAAATATTTGTTATAAAATATAACTAATTTTGTTCTTTTTAACCGATTGACTTACTGGTCTGATCTACTCTTTGATAGGATGAATGAAGATTTCTAACCTATTTAAATTGACGAAACAACTCGATTCTACTCATTTGGATGGACTGGTGGCAGATTGGCCCAAACATGCATTGACCTATTTTTTCATTTTCATACAAAATTTACGAATAGAATTATTCTATTATGTGAATCTTGATTTGTAGTGACTACTAAGCCACCATCTCTATTTGTCTTCTTTCAAAACCATATTCATATTGTTAAATTTAAATGTTTCGTTTGAAAATTTCAATCAAACAACGTTTCCACTCTCATGTTTTACACAGTAACCATATTAAAGTAGCGTAGCAATTCGAGTTTGATACTTTTAAACAAATTCAGACGTGTGATGTGTTTTTATCCTCAAAGAAAAGTGTCCACCTGACAGATTAATTATAATAGTGATAATATATTAACTAATTTCCACTACAAACACTTTGATAACTTTTTTTTTTTCTTCTCCCTCTTTCTTTGACTACAGTAGATGACATGTGAGCAGGATTAACCCTTGGCCATTTACGTTAAGAAGATTGGAGAGCCATTAAAGCAGTGAGGCTTTGGCAATTGTAAGGTGAGATGATTAAAAAGCACCTGAGATACACAGAAAAAGACAGAATGTTAATACCTTAACAACTTGCATGTTTTCACATGTGTCTAATAGAAAGGTTACTCAAAAACCAATAGATAATGCACTAATCCTCCTCATGAAGGGGTGTGAACCAGAGGGTTTGTGTTTGTATGATAGGAGTAGCGTGGACGCCTCTACCACTGTCAGGCTTCAACGTTTGAGAGGAGTGTCAAGCGTCCAACAAATATTCTTCAGCTGAATTCTCTAGTGTGAAGAATTAGAAAGGTGCCAACAGACCCTCATGCCTCAGAATTAGGAGTATCACAACAAGGTTCAAAACTAACCTCATACCTGACTGAATCAGTAATCCCTTTTCTTATTCTTTCTTTCTTTCATATACATTTGATGCAGTTGTGAGTTGCCTCATATTGATTTAAATGTTTTCTCACCAAATAAAATTCATAGTATTTATTTCTCAATGCTACACGTTCACTGTTACAATATATAGTTAGTCACGTGCTATATTTTGGAAATGGAGAAGGAAATTGGAACTACAAAAATGCCATAAACTGACTCTGATCTGAAACCAAGATACGCATTCATTCAACTCTACTCATCAACTGCACTGACTGGACCTTCCAGTAGCTTATACAGAACCTCACTTTTTCAGTCCTCTTTATTAATGTAAGTAGAGAAGCTTTAACTGATGTGTGACAATAAGGTAATGTGCTGCTCCAGATGTCTACCATGCGAAGTTGATTCATCATATTTCTGAATTCAAATCTTTCTTCTTTTCCTTCTTGTCCCATCATCATTCTTCCCAAATATATTAGCTTAGCAACTAAACATATTTAAATTGGCAATATTTTATTTTAAGGACAGGATTACTGACGTTAGATATGTTTCAGGCTACACTGACCGAGGAAGATCCTTATCATACTGTTTGATTAATGGGAGAGAGAGGAGTACTTTTAATTGAAGGGAAAAGAGAACATCTTCCATTCATATTCTTCATAGATTTTTTTTTTCTTCTTTCTCTTGAAAAATAAAAAATTAAACTTGTGTTTGGATGGTATGGAAGAGTTCATTTGATTTAGAGTGATAATAATTTAAAGAAATTTAATTGGATTTATTATAGTTGATATCAAAGAATTTATGTGATTTAAAGTGATAATGAAATTGTTTGAATGAGGGGAATGATAATAATTTAAAGAAATTTATTTGAATTTATTATAATTGATATTATTGAATATAATAAAAATTAAATGATAATTTTTTTTATCATAAGAAAAATATATTCTTATTATTAGAATGAATAAATTAAATAAAAATTATAATTATGATATAATTAAATATAAAAATATTAATTAATTTATATTATATATATTATTTAAATATATTAATATTATTTTACATATAAAGTATAATTAAAACGTTTTATTGTAACGATCCTAGAAATCGTTACTATAATGATGTTTTCACAAAGTAGTAAACAAGTAAATAATAATATCTATTTTACATTATATTATCGTAATTGTAATATAGATTAAAATTCCGGTTCACTAACGAAACTTCAAAATATAGTAACATAATTTATTTATATATTATACATGTAAAAGTAACTCTCTCGAAGCTATCCCATCTGAACTATCTCTCGTTGTCCAATAGTCACATCACCATCTCTCAACTCCTCGATCTGCTCCTACATAAAAGTGATTATCATAGTCCCATC